TCTGCATAATTTGCACAGCAGAATTTGGAGAGGAGGGGCATTCAAGAGAGTATTATAAGTTGTTTGCATAGCGTGCTCATGACTTACAGCCCCAGATTTCTGGCCAGTTGCACTTTTTTTTATTGTGTACAAGACAATAATCAGGCATTCGAGGATTCCAATGGGCAGAAGATTAGTTAGAAGGCAAACAAAAACTGAAGGTGTGAAACCAAGTAGTTTTTGTCTCTTTCCAGCCAGAAAGTGCAATTGTAGTAATGTGATTTCCACTGAATGACCATTTCACTTAGTGGTAAGGTTGCTGGTTCCAATTAGATTAATTAAGCAAGGATTGCCTATAAGCAAAACTGCCAACAATCTCTATAGAAAATAATGGGTGAGATGTAAAACTATTACCTCTTTTTAAAACTCTTGCAAATACATAATTATGAGAATTTGTTAATTGGCAGTCAATGTTGTTTCCTTTTTTGTTGTAGAAGAGATTTTGCAACATTATTTGTCTAAGGTAAACTAGTGCAAATGTTACATTCATGACTTTTCATTGTTTGGAAAACTAAAATATATTTTAGAGTTGTTTTAAAAACTGTTTTTAATTGTTTATTTTTGTAAACTAATTTATCAGGAGGTATGGGCATGTTGGCATGAGCTTCTGTTGTATTTGGATATTGAAAACAAATGGTTGAATGAACTGGAATTGAAAATCAAGGCAACAGAAAATATTCAAGAAGGTACAGAAGAAGTATCAGTAGCACTAAATGTAAGTAAAATATTATCCATGCATTTTTATTGATTTTCTTATACTGATTAATATGGCTGCCTATATGATAGTTGCAACACTGGATGAGGAACAAAATATCAAAACTAATGTACAACAAAAACAAAATAATAATTATAATGGAAGAAAAGAGAAAGAACTGGAGAAGATAACGATACAAAGATCTGCACATAGAAATAGAATGACTGTGGCAAAAGAAATCAAAGATATTACTGATAGTAATATGCACCTTGGGTTCAATCACAAAACAACTGGAGCACTACTTGAACACCATTGGCACTGGCAGATTCGCCATCAATCAATTGCAAAAGGTGTTTTTTTCTCAGAACAGCTTACATGCTGCTATGATAGCTGTAACACTATCATACAGCCACAACTGCCTATCCCAGGTCCTTGGAAAGGACTCGATAGGTAGACAAAAATGTCAAATACAGTTTATACACCTTGCTGACTGCATGACAAACCATAAATACTAATATAATAATAGTGTAATGACATAGTACCATCTAATTCATACAACCAGAGATGCTAATTTAAAAAAATGGGCTTATCCAGTGGTGGGATTCAGCCAGTTTGCACCACTTCGGCAGAACCGGTAAATAATTTTTTGTTGCCCAGGCCCAGAATGGACTTCCGGAAGCAGCATCCACACAGAGAACCGGTTGTTCACATATTTGAATCCCACCACTGGGCTTATCCATCCTTCATGCATCATGCTAAGCAACCTTTACATAATAGGTTGTCAACCACAACATTAAATATTATTATTGGTAAAACAAAGCACAAAGTGTTATTTCACTTGTCTTGCCCATATTAAAGGATGTGGAAAACCTCCTTTATTTCTGAATTTTGTAGTGTCATCATTATTACCATCAATGGAAATTGGAAACAAAAGTAGGATTTGAAAATCTGGCTTCACATGGACCAAAAATGCAATGTAATTGGAAAGATAAATATTTGAAATGCTCAACAAACTTATTGTTTACAAGCTGATTCTGTAGCATTTATCCATTTAACAATCTATATCTTACATTTAGGTCCATATAACAACAGGTTATTTTAGATGAATAAAATAAACTTAACTATTTTTTTTATTTTTGGCTAAAGAGAAAGATCAATGGGGCGATTTCAAAATATTACCTTCTAGTATTCTGCAATTTTAAGGTGATTGATTGAATTAACTCTAATCTAACTGAATTGCTGAAATGATGCATTATATTATATTGAACTGATCCCTTTGGATGGATTGATTGATTTGACAGTTAAATATGAATATATACACAGTGATTTTTATTTGACTAATAGATAAAGTCATATTATTTACTGATCTAGTAATTAATCTTATATGTGCTCATTCTTAAAACAAATCCAAATAACTATACATGATTGCTATGTTTTTGTATTCCCAAACTAATCCATTTTTTCCTTAATTTCCTCACACATTTTAAATATTTTCAAAGTTATAAAACTAGTACTACTGTATCTTCCATAATGCTTAAAAGGTTTCATTATGTCTAACTTGTTTATATTCCTTATTGCAAGCAAGAAGGAGAGGTTCCGCTTTTGCTCTAATGAGTAATGTTTCCTCATTAAGCACATCAGACCTGTTTTCTTACCTGCTTTAATAAACTGCGCTGATATTTAATTCAACAGACCAATACTAGGCTCTCTTGGATGAAAATGATTTTCTTGATTCATTTCAATCTGGTTTCAGGCCTTGCAGTGAAATAGAAATGTATTGAAAAAAAGACAAGATGTTAGGCCCAAGCCCAGAGATGACATCCAATCAAATTCAACCCTTTATTTGCTTGTGGCTAATGGACCAAATATTGCCAAACTAATGCTACAACTTTCTAGATATATCCTAAGAGAGTCTAAGATATGGCTGTCCTGAACCTCTTTTCCTTCTTCCCATCCAGCTCTTAACCCGGGCCTCTCTCTGGAAAGCGCTGGGTTGCCAAAACTCTCTCCCATGGCTCCTAAAAGTGCACATCCCATCACACAAGGAGAGTAGGACCTTGTTGGTCCTCTTGTAAACTTTCAGTATCTCAATCATGATATTCTCCTGTCAGAATTAGAATGTGGGAGTACTATACTGTGGTGATTCCACTCCTTCGTGGGTGGCTGTTTCCAGAAGATAATGGGGGATTTGGCAATTGATTAGGGCTGAGTCCTATTTTATCACATATGCTTTTTAACATCTATATGAAACCACTGGGAGACATCATCTAGGGTAGGGGTGTCAAACTGCCGGCCTGCAGGCCAGACACAGAAGCCGCACCCACCCCATTGCTGGCAATGGCAAAACAGTCCCGATACATCGCACGACGTCACGTGACGTCGCAAGTTTGACATGTTTGATCTAGGGATATGGGCTGAGATGCCATCAAAATGCATCTGGACAGGTGAGTGATGTCCTGCCTGATCTAGAGTGGTCCACAGTAACCCTAGTGGAGTAGGTTCACAGTTGGGGATATTCCAAATTCCATTGTTATCCCTAGAGGTCTAATATTCCTGCAATTTTGATTTCCTCATTTGCTTTACCTCGGAAGCCTGACAAATAGAAATAAATATTTGTTTTTCTTTTATATAAATGAAATCTCTCAATAATACCTTTTATGGACTTTTTTTAGTCTCTGGAAACATTAAGGCAACATCCAGAAGATAATCGCAATCAGATTCGTGAATTGGCACAAACTTTAACAGATGGTAGAGTTTTGGATGAATTGATCAATGAGAAACTTGAAAAATTCAATATTCGGTGGGAAGAGCTACAACAGGAGGTATATTTCTCTTTTTTACTTTTTTGTTTTAAACATTAGCGCTGGGTGGCTTTACATAAAAATAAAGTTATAACCTATATACTATTCTATAAAAATTTTAAAAATAATAATAAATAGTGTGAATACAAATAAAAGAAATAGAGTTTGAGTTATCTGGATGATCTAGAGAAATAATATTCAATGTGTTATATGTGCATTCAAAATCGTGATGTTTGCTGTCCTTTCAAGAAATTTGCATGACTGTCTATTATTCCTACATTCTCAATTTAAGGATTGAGAAGTTGGCCTCTCACTGTGAATAAAATATATTGCAATCCTTTTCTGTTTGGAGATACCAAATTCTACTGAAGGAAGCAGCAGCACATTAATCTGTAAATCCATCAATAAATATTCTGAAGAATGAATATTTGTTTTCAACATTAATGACAATTTAATCTTGCTGTTTTAAATCCTAATTTGTTTTTGAGCTAAACGAAATGCTTACCATTCCAACAAATTATGCCATATAATAGCTAAGTGGGATATAGCTTTTCTAATAGGGGTCTCAAAGATGTATACATATAAAGTAGAAAAAACTGCTCTTATTGCACCCTATATTGGCTGAAACCTGCCAAATACTTGATTTGTCCAAGTCTTGATTCCTGCCTAGGAGTAATTGTTTGCATGATCACATGCAATAAACAAAAAACTAGAATTCAAAGGAGATGATTAATCTTTCTTTGGTACAATATGACAAGCCAATATGACAAAACTGAAACTGAGTAGCCAATAAAACATACTACAAGGTATTGTGTTTTATGAAGGTCCATGAAAAATGGGATTATTTAGGGATGTTCTACATATCACATTTTTATCTCTGCTCCCCAGTAGCTCCTATTAAAAATTCTTACAATGTAATTTTTATAGTTACAAATGTCTTAAAATTTGTTACTTATGTATTTTACATTTTACATTTTCCAGAATATAAAACTTTTAGCAAAAAATAAAGTTGTATTATAACAGAAAATTATAATATTTAGACATATGAATCACACAATAAATGCATTCATTCATGTATTCATTCATTCTTGTTTAATGGAACACTTAAATAATATAAGTTAGTGTACTGATTCTTAAAGTTAGGGATATAAATAGTTTTGGAATCCTAATGTCAGCCTGCATTTTTGCTTTCTTTCAAGCTTGCTGCCAACTGCCATGGAAACAGTGGGGGAGGAAGCACTGGGTATTTGGGAGGGGAAGAATGCACAAAGGAGGAGCGATGCACCTGACATCTTCCTGGCCAAAGATTGAACTTTGTGTCAGATCCCCTCTGTTTCACCTTTTTCGGGACTCTGCCATTCTTGTGGGAGGGGGAGGTTTCACTCATTTGGGAGGGGAGGGGGCTAGCGGATGTATTTACTTTACTTTATTCTCTCTGTCTCTGATGTATCCCTTTTGGTGTGAAGAAGGGGGAGAAATGTGCCAGTAATGATCTGCCTTATCTCTGCTCCTTTGTAAAGATGAGGCTATGCTTGGGAACCATCTCTTATCACTCTGGTTCCCATACAACAACTTCGCAACTGTGGATTAGCTAGAAATGAACTGGACAGTTGGATTCTAGGGAGGGTTTGAAAAGGGATATTTTAACGTAGTGTTCTGCATGGGGATTCTTTAGAACTTGCCTTACCTTCCTGTTTTCACTGACTTTCAATAAAAGTTCCTGTTTGAAACAATGCCTGTTTCAAGAGTTCTGCTTTCTTGGGAGTACTAGCTGAGGCAGGACCTTATATTAGGCAAGATCTGCAAAGTGGTCAACCCGGAGAGGCATTTGCCCTACCATGGGGACCCCATGAATGCTGTGTCGCTCCATGGCAGTGAGCAAGACAAGTCCAAATACTGGGAAGAGTCTGCCACCAAGACTCAACCTGAAGAGAATTCCTCCAGATGGATGGTGATGGCTGCCATGGAGGAATCCACAAGACCAAGATGGTTGGCCAATATGAAGAAAAAGGAAGATTGTGATGGAAGGGCCCAACAACTAAACTACCCGAGGTAGCAGAAAACCGGGCTGGACGCATGAAATGGAACTGCTCTGCGATGACAAAGAAATTGAGGGAGAGTAGGAACCCCCCAATCAGATCCTAAAACAGGCAATGCATTTCATGATTGAAGCTTTTTAAGACTGAAGGTGAGGGGCTTCCGGTTAGGCATCATGGCGTGATGGATGCGAGGAGATGGGGCTCCATCTTCCACATTTGATTTTGCCCTGCTGGGGACCCTAAAAAGGGTCAAACATTGCCCCAGAGAGGCGACAAAGAAGGAAGGGACCCTTGTTGATCACGGAGGGGTGGCAGTCCTTCTGTTTGATCCGAGGAAGCCCTCCAAACCAGTGGGGGAAAGACTGGCCACATGTGTGGCCAGTCAGAAGCTGCTGACAACTGAAGAAAATAAGCACTAATGAGCAACTTTTAAGCTGGGTGAGACTTTATCCTCTCTTTATGACTTTAAGACTTATTCCTGGGAAAAACTGCCAGAGCAAAGAATCCCCCCTGATGAGAGAGGGAAGGGGAATTTCTGCCCCATTCCCTCAGGAAAAGAAAAGCTGTGAACTAATTGCTTGGGGGGAAACAGATAAAATTACAAGATTAATTTGGAATCAATACAGATATATAGCTTTGAAATTTGGGTACTAAAATGCTTTTGAGACTTTTTTAGAAAAGAGACTTGAAAAGTTTGCAATATAAGTTTGGATTTAAAAAGCTGAAAGATGTCAACGACATCTAGTGGTGAACCATGGCACTACAATCTATTATGCTTAAATGAAACTTTGCTTGAAGCCCAGACTCAGATAAGACTTTTGTTGTCCTTGGAAACTTTCACTTTTGAATACTGCAGCTGGAAAAGTGGGGGGAGCTCTTTGGCTGCTTATCTCTGTGGCAGAGATGATAAACTATTTTGAAACTGGCCTGCTTAGATTACGAATACAAATACTAACTGACTTTTAGAGCTGTCTCATGGAGCTATTTCCCTATAGAAGAAATACGCATTATTGATTGAGATGATGGAATACTTTGGATTATAAACCTTTGATTGATGAACAACTTTTAATTGCTTTTTTCTCTCTGGACAGAAAAGATATATTTTTCATTGGACAGAAACTCTTGAATTTTGCTTTTATTTCTTTAGGGGACGCTTAAGGACGAAGTAATAGGCTGGCTCAATAATTTGGAGTTCAAATGACAATTGACTGAAACTTTTTAAATCCCTAAATAGATTGGACTATAAAGACCACATACAAAAACGAAATGGATGTTCCATACTTAGCCTTAAATTGTAAATAAAAAAACCATTCCTAACATTTGTCTTCAAAGACCCCAGCTTGAAATACCAACAAGAAAATGTTAATGAATCTCAGAAAGAAATTTTCTAATCTAAACCTACAAATTCACAAAATGACTACAAAGAAGGAACTAATAACTCAGAAAATAGAAGGAAAATTAGAGGAAGCAGATCCAAAGATGGAGGACCTAAAGGAAGGAATCAACAGACAGACTCAGAAAAACTTTAATACTTTAATCAAATTGTCTTTCTTATTCCAAACAATATACACAAAAATAGAGGAAGAACTACTTGATGATTCAAATGCGTTGATTTGGAAAGTTTGTTTGGCAAAGGAAGAAAGCTAGAGTAAGACTGAAGAAAATAGAGATTTTGATCCATTAGATGGGGTATTATATTATTAAATAGATGTTTGAGCATGACTAAGAGAATAGAATAATTGTTAGAAATAAAAGTATTATTATAACTAGAAAGATAGGATCTGCAACTAGAATACTATATTTTGGTATGAGAAGGGAAATATAAAAATGCTAAGATGGTCTGAATAAGTGAAGCTTTTGGTTACCCAAATATAATTTATTTGAGAAAACAATAAGCAATAGAGACACTTTGAACATTGATGAGAAATTAAAATAAAAAAGTGGGAAAAACAGGATATTGATTGAACAAATGGATTTTAAGTGCAAATGCAATTGAGATATGTTTTGGTTAGAAAAGATATTTTAAACTGACACTATTGATAATATGTATAATATTAGAAAAATGTGATAAAGAAGTTGATATCCAGTTGTATATGTATTAGCAGCAATAAGAATTGTATTTGCCTAGTGTAGAAAAATATATACCACTGGAAGAAGAGAGGAAGCACTGGCTGGTGTAGTATTGGATCTAGACTGAGGAAGTTAATATGTACCACTGAATTACCAATGGACCCAGACAACATGTTGTTTGTTAAGTACTTATGATTGCAAAATTAGAAAATTAATAAAATATTTATAAAAAAAAAGATCTGAAGGTGAAATCCGAGTGACGCAGAGGGAGAGGCAAGGACCAGCTTGAAGAAGCCATGGGCAGCAGGAGTGAGTTGACAACCACTGAAACAGCCGTGGGGGTGGCTGGCTCTCCCGGAGCGGCTGCAACTACCCCCACCACTCCTCAACAGGCCAGTCCCCTAGGAGCAGGCAACCTCCCAGCAGCCAGGAGGAGAGCCCTGCAGCCCAAACCTGAGCCAAAATTAGTTCTCCTTGGGGTGAAATTTGACAGAGACCCCCCCACAATTGGGTTTTTCCTCACTCACATCCTCACCTATATGCAAGTATCTGGAATGACCCTCCCCAGTGAGGAGGCTAGAGTCAGGGTTGTCATCCTGGCTCTGGAAGATGCTGCAGTCCATTGGATGGTGACCCTGCATAACTCCAGTGCCCCAGAACTCTGAAACTTCAACTGCTTCATGTTGGCCCTGAGGGGGTGTTTTGAAGACCATTTGGCTGATTGGAAGGTGCAGGACTGCATAAAGACGGTGAGACAGGGGAGCCACCCTGTAGCTGAATACATAGAAGAGTTTCGGGACCTGGCATGTCACCTCAATTGGCCTAAGGACAACTTGGTGAGTTGCTTCCAGTACGGGCTCAGTGATGACCTGTATAATGCCTGCATCGCCTGCAGAGCCCTGGTCTGCCTGCATGACTGGTGCATCCTGGCTGAAGAAGCAGAGATTGACCAGAATCACAACCATATTGTTCAGGTAAAATCTGGAAGAGATCTCCACCAGAAAAGAAAGGGGAGGCAACCACCTGCTTCAAATGTGGCAAGGAGGGCCATTGTGCTCTGGAATGCCACACAAAAGCCCCAGCCAAGAAAGTAGACCAGCTGTCCGGAGGAAGGGCACAGCCCTGAAGACCAGGGAGGTCATGGAGTTCCATCTAACACCAAAGTCAGGAGGGGGAACTCCGACCCCACAAGGAGATGAACTGGGGACACCCAAAAATGAATACGATGATGACCCCTTGGTAAATGGGCTGATCATGCCAATCACAATGCCCATAAAACTGTTAATCTCGTGCAAGGAAGAAAAGGTGGCTCTAAATATCATACTAGACTTGGGCTATACTAGGTACCTAAATAGCCCAACCTTGGTGGGAAAACTAGTGGTCTGACTGAGGAGGTTGAGGAACCTCATCACCTTCTGCCAACTCAATGGATCCGTCACTAGTTTTGTCACCGAACCCCTGGGTCTTACCATGGGGAGCCATTCCAAGACTTTAATTTTCATAATGGCGCCTGATATGGATTGGCCCCTTGTTATAGGGCTGACATGGTTGAAAAGATGGAATCTACAGGTAGATTGGTGGGAAGGGAGCTTGAGATTCCCTAAAGAGTGGAAGGCCCCACCTGAGAAAATCCAGGGTGAGAAGGGGAAGCCAGACTGAGAAATGGCAGTGATAGCGAAAGATGAGGGGTTAAAAGGCATACCCAGAGAGTACCGCAATTTAGCTGAGGTGTTCAGTGAGACGGGTTCAGATGAACTCCCTCCTCATCAGCCCACAGATTGTGCTATCGTGATCGTCACTGGAGCCAAACTCCCAAAGCCCAAAATATACTCCACGACTCCCAGAGAGTTAGACAAACTGTAGCAGTTTATAGATAAGAACCTCGTGCAGAGTTTCATATAGCCAGTGAGACCCTGAGTGGCAGCCCCTTTATTGTTCTGGGAAAAGAAAGATGGGTCTCTTCATCTCTGTGTTGACTATAGAGGTTTTAATGCCATGTGCATGGAAAATGTATATTCCTTGCCCCTCATGAAAGACATGCTAGCCTACCTCGCCAAGGGAAAAGTGTTTTCTAAACTGGACTTGAAAGAGGCATATTACTGGGTTAGGATCAAAGAGGGAGACAAGTGGAAGACAGCTTTCAACTGTCCCCTTATCACTTTGGTTCCCATAACAACTTTGCACCTGGATTGGCTGGAAATGAACTGCACAGTTGGACTCTAGGGAGGGGTTTGAAAAGAGGTATTTTAATGTAGCATTCTGCACGGGAATTCTTTATATCTTGCCTTGCCTTCCTGCTTTCATTGACTTTCAATAAAAGTTCCTGTTTGAAACCATGCCTGTTTCAAGAGTTCTGCTTTCTTGGGAGTACTAACTGAGGCAGGACCTTATACTTTGGTTGCTTGGCTACTGGAGGGTGGACTCTGGGTTTTGTTTCAATTCATTTCTTCTTATGTATTTTGCTTCAGATCTTGCCTGACTTTTGCTGCATTCAGTTCTTTCCTAGTAAAAGTACCTTTTCTGTAAATTTATGGAGTTTACAGGTAGTTTCCATTATTATGTGAATGCAAAGCTTAGCCCATTTCCTGGGTAAAAAGCCAGATATTCATACTCCTCCTGAATATGGTAAGGGCTTTCTGAAGTTCAGGGAAAAGACTATACCACAGAGTTGCAACATGTACAGAGAAGGTTTGTCTCCCTGGTCCCATCAGATGACAGCATTGAAGGGTAGGGACCTAGAAGATACCCACCCAATCTGTTGTGGGTTTGTTTGCTTTCCTATTTAAAAATGTGTAAAAAATTGTTTGTCATTTTATTGATTATGAATCCATAGGTCATAATCATTCTTTTACTGTATTTTACAAAGTTTTGAAAACATGAGACTAACAATTTTAACTTGCAATATAATTTGATTTTCATATAAAGAGAACACTAACCACTGGAGGTAATTGGCAGGGTAAGAAGAAGACCTCATCCTTGTGCTATCCATTTCCTTGCTTTTAGTTTTATGTACAGCTTTAAAAATGTTAATTGTTTGTATATTTATATTTATTATTGTCTGTAAGCTGCTCAGAGTTGTCTTTTAGATAATAGGGGTTGCATATAAAATAAATAAACAAACAAACAATCTTATAAAAAACCGCATGTTGTTTTTAATTAATGAATATACAGCATGTATGTGTGTACATACATACACACTATATATGTACACTGTATATTTATTCATATATTCTGTGTGTGTGTATAAGGCAGAACCTGAAAAACAAGCAAATATCTGCTAGTCTCATCTTAAATTTTAAAGTAGAAATAATTGAACAACTTGGAAAAAATGACCTTTGTAAAATAGTGAACATATTTATTAGATTTACATTATGGGACAAGTTTAAAGTTATATAACTAGACCTGCTTTAGTGATATTAAAGATTACTGCATTCTTTAGTTTTTGTAATGCTACTTTGTATAGCATTACAAGAATTTTTATAGGTAGGCTTAGTAGTGAACCATGCAGTGAAAAACAAATAATAAGGAACTAACCATTCCTGTGATTAATCCATGCTCTAAGAAACTATTTATATCTTATGTTCCAGTTGCTTTATAAACAGCATGTTTATCCCTGTCACTCATTACAGTGGATTATCTTAAAATGGATTGTGGTGACTGTAATTCTGTTCTGCCCAAATGAAATCTCTATACTATCTAAGCAGAATACTGAATTTCAATTTGTAATATTCTATTCATCCTAAAATTCTTCAATATCTCTCTTTTTTTTACACATTGGCTATTTCTCAGTTATTTCTTTAAAAAATAAAATGGCTGGCAAGAAGCGAAGAAATTTATCTTACAAAAAGGTAGTTGCATATTAACTGGAAATTCTAGTTTGTACTGCAAGCTATATTGTAAATGATACTTTGAAAATATTGATGTGTAATTCTTTGTATTATTTTCTAGGCTGTGAGAAGACAGAAGTTTCTTGAACAAAGTATCCACTCTGCTCAGGAGATTGACAAAACCCTTCAATTAATTCAAGAGTCTCTGACCTTCATTGATCGACAATTAACAGGATACATTACAGACCGAATTGATGCAGCACATGTACCTCAAGAAGCACAGGTGAGCCATATAACATGTAATTACATTAAATAGTTTTATCTTTCAAGAAATAAGTAAGAATTTATTTTATTAGATTGTTCTAAACTTACAATGATTCTAGCGTTATCATTGATCTAATTCTTACAAAATTGCCAGCTGGCAAATGAAAGAGGAAATGCATGCAATCAAAAAGATCACATATATTTTCAAGTAAAATGATCTTTTAAGTTTATTTTATCTTTCCTGATGATAATGTAACATTATTTTATCACATCAAATTAAAAGTTTGCAAATTTTTGTGTTGTAAATTTAAAGTAGGAAAATGAATACTACAATTTTTATCATGCCATAAGTTACTCATCATGATTACTATTTTCAATTAACTTATATACACACTGTGAATTCTTATTGAATTAACATAAAGATATTTCATTTAATTATTTGGGTAATTTTATGCATATTGTGTTGCATAAAAGGAGCAGAGTTATATAGATAGATAAAAGCCAATTTTGTGTAGTAGTTAAGGCATCAGACTAGAAACCATGAGATCATGAATTCTAGTCCTGCCTTACACTCAAAGTCAGCTCAGTATCCTTGGGTTAATAATTTTTTCTCAGCTCTAGGAAAGAGGCAATGTATGTATGCATGTAAATATGTGTATGTGTGTGTTTATATTCCCCATTCAATCATGTTTGATTTTTGGAGACTGCCTGGACAAGTCCCTGAAGTTGTTGTTGTTGTTGTTGTTGTTTTGACTAATTTCTTGGACAAACCACTTATGAAAAACCTGGCCAAGAAAACTTCAGGGACTTGTCATGACAATCTCCAAGAATCAAATATGATTGAATGGGGAATACACAAACATACATACATACATGCATACATACATACTGTACATACATAATACACACACACACACACACACAAACAAACATATATACATACATTCTGATGGGTGATTCTTTTCTAGTATCTTTACGTAGGTGTTAAATGGAAGGACCATTAAAAGAATAAAACAAGAAATCAATTATATATAATCTGGCCACATTGCAAACTATGTATGTAAAACCAAAATCAATATCTTGTATATACAAATTTCATATACAGAAACAATTACTTGGTATGGTTGTGGTAAGTATAATTAGTTATTTTTCTAACCACTTCAGATTATTTTATTTTTATTTATTAATTTGTCATGTTTGTATAGCCACCTAATTGGCAACAGTATTATTTTAGATCATACAGTTCTTAGGAGTGTATTGCCAATATTCAAGTCATTTTGTGAAGTTGATGAGCCCCAATAATGTCAATGTTCATAGTCACAGTAAATTTACTTGCTGTTCTGTTTGTTGTCTATTTTATTTATTTATTAAATTTGTATGCCTCACATTTCACCAAGAAGTGACTATAGGTGGCTTACAACTAAGTAAAGAAGATAAAACATTAAATATTAATAAACATTAATGTTAAAATGTACTTAAAATTAGCAAAGATGGCAAGGAAGAGACCAAGATGCACATGGGGTAAAAGTGGATTATCTCAATCCATTAACCATCTCAGTATGATACGCCCCCATTGAGACCCCAGGCCAATGACAGAACCAAGTTTTCAAGCCTTTTGGGAGGCCAAAAGGATGGGTGAGAATCTCACTTCAGGGAGCACAACAACTCTTTCTCTGGATACTGCCAGCTGAAATTCCTTTACTGTTGGCGTCTATAGCAGACCTATCAAACTCGCGACATCACGTGACGTCGTGCAACGTATCGGGCCGGCAATGAGGTGGGCGCAGCTTCCGGATAACACATCCGGGCCAGCAGTTTGACACCCCGGTCTATAGCATGCATGGCTGAGGTGGGCCAATCCCATTGACATGAGATGGTTCGTCAGGTAATCTGGACCCAGGCCACAAAGAACTTTAAAGGTGATAACCAACACCTTGAATTGGAGCTGGAATCAAACTGGCAACCAGTGCAGCTCGTGCAACATGAATCACCTTAGAGACCCAAGAACTATCTGTGCAATTTCATTCTGTGCTAGCTGTAGCTTCCAAATATTCTTCAAGGATAGCCCCACATTGTACAATCCAGACATAAGATGACCAGGGCTGAGTAACAGATTGCAGGGACTCATGATTCAGGAAAGGGCACAACTGGCTCAATGAAAGATTGCTCAAAGGCTCTCCTAATCACAATTAACACCTGCTTTTCAAGCAGGAGTTGAGAGTCCAGGAGAACTCCCAAGTTATGCACTGGGTATGTCTGGGGCAGTTTAATCCCATCCAGAACTAAAGATGCTAAAGTCCCTGATCCCGAAGCTCATGCCCCAAAAGCCACTCAGTCTTACCATTACCTTACCATTAATGTTACCATTGGATTTACTTTTTGACATCTCAACCAACTAATAAATTATATAGAACTCAGACAAATCATCCTTTAATATTTTAATGTTAAATGTGATTTTATGAAGAAACATAATTAAAGAATAGAAAACTGGAAATCTCATGTATCACAGAAATTGAATTATCCTTTTCTTAATACTCTGAAAGGATTACTACAAATAATACTATTATTTTTGTAACTCTAGTATGTATGTATTTTAATTTCTTCTGTTCACGCTGTGGTATTTAATTATTTATTTAGAGTCTTTACATAGTTACCCAATACAAATAATGCAACTCTGAATAGGTTACACAAAGTTAATTATATTTTGAACAAATACCTCAGATTTATCATTATTTATTCATTTTATTATTAAATTTACAGTATATACCACCCATCTCTCTGGCTGAGGCAAGTCTAGGTTTTGGAGTAACTCTTATTGTACAGTTTCATCCATATTATACAAATCTCCACTTGCACAATGTCTATTTCTCTTTTTGGGCCATCTGTGAAAATATATATATATATAAAATTTGATCGAGAGCATCAGCCAACTTCCAGAGCAAAGTGTTAAAGTATACAAATGAATATAGATGAAGTTCAAACCAATTCTATCAAGAATGTACAATCTATTAGTGTACTTATACTATTGGAATTCAACTTTAATAATTTAAATTTATTTATTCCCGTGTTTTTCTGTAAATTCAGACATATTCATCTTGTAAAAATAATATAAATTGATTCAAACCCTGTCTTCTTCCACCACCACCATCACCCCTGCACCCACCCAGAAAATTCAGTCAGAGCTGACAAGCCATGAGATTAGCTTGGATGAAATGAAGAAACGTAACCGGGGTAAAGATTCTGCCAAAAGGATATTCTCTCAAATTGATACTGCACAGGTTTGTGAACTTAATTTGCTTTTGCAGATTAATTTAAAATCTACCTTCAGATATTCAAAATAAAGTTTAATTATGTGTTAATCATGCCAGAAATAGAACTAATGTGGTGCAAAGCTTTGAATCTGATTTAAAAATATCCTTTGCAGCACACAAATTCTTCGCAGCACAGGACTGGCCTAGGGGAAATTTTTAGCGGGGTTTTAAAATAATTTTAAATTAATTTGGCCAAATGTTAATATTGTCTTTTAATTATGTTTTTAATTGTAGCATTATGTTTTTAATTGTAGCATTTTGTATTTTTGTAGTTGTTTTATCTGGCTGTTAGTCCGCAAGGAGAAGGGCGGGATATAAATATAATAAACATAAACATAAACAACATAAAGTTTATAATGATCACTACATAAAGGACATAGCATTTATAAAACTAATATTGACTAACTAATTTAGCATGTTAATTAACTACTGCACATTCTATTTATTACATGACAAAATCTGGCCACCCTTAAAAGTAATAATATAAGTTAAATCCAAAATTATGGTATGTTAATTAAACTAATCAAATGGCTGGGAAAAATTTTTTAGATATGGAGTTAACAGCTCATGGCGGGTAGCAACATAAAATGAAAAATATGACATGATTTATCAGTGCAGAATTTCCAAACTCTGTTGAAACACTTTATGCAAATGTAAACATATATGTCTCCTTCTCTTCCAGGAAGATCATTTATATAGTAGCTGTTGGTAGAATTTTGTTTTCAGATTACATTTTTTGGGTATATAACTCTTTTTCTTTCATATTCACATATTTTGCACTGACCACCAGAGGCCGATTGAATGTATCTGAGGAATAATATTTCTTAAAGAAATCCATGATTTAACATATTTTCTAAATTGAATGCATACAATTAGCTGCTATTTCACATGCAGATAATGAATTCTAAATATGAGATCACTATTTGTTTCTTGTGTGGAGTGGTATATTGCATAGGGTTGCCAGGTCTGCTTCCAAAAAATAGCGGGCAAGCGGGGGGGGTTAAGTAGTAAAAAAAAGTAGACTGTACAGCTTTAGATTACGTACCATTTCATCATAAAGCTTTTGAATTAAAAAAATGTCCACTATTTTGTGGAAAAAAATAGTGAACATAATGTGAAAAAAGTGGACTGTCCACTCAAATAGTGGATACCTGGCAACCCTAATATTGCATCAAAATTTGAAGAAAATAATTAATATAAATTAATCCATAGGAGAAGGAGAACTGTACAGTTGTTTTCAGCCTGATGTTTCTATGTAGATTGTCTGTTGCTTTTGGCTATCAGTCACATTTTATTTCTTTAAAATATGTTTTGGTTCAATTTTGATATACTGTACTTTCAAAAGAATAGTAAAATATTAGAGATCCAAGATATACTGTGCCCTGCTTTAAGAGTCTAAGGAGAGTTATAAATCTGTTGAATTGGATTTATTATTGAACTTAAAGCTTTGTGCTCATATCTTTCCTTCCTTCTATTTTTTTCAGAAAAAATTACAAGACGTCTTCATGAAATTTCGCTTGTTCCAAAAGCCAGCCAATTTTGAGCAGCGATTACAAGAAAGTAAAAGGATTTTAGATGAAGTGAAAATGCAAGTGCCAAAGTTGGAATGGAGAAGTGTTGAGCAGGAAGCAATACAGTCACAGCTGGATAATTGTATGGTGGGTATTTCAAAGGAAGAAATCTCTCACAATGTCATGCATTTTATTATCCTTCAGGCAAATTGCAAACATGAGTTACATTTTGTTTAAATAAAAAATACAGTTTCTCTTTTCTTGTGTTCATTAGAAATTATATAAAACTCTTAGTGAAGTGAAATCTGAAGTGGAAACAGTAATAAAAACTGGGCGCCAGATTGTNTATATATATATATATATATATATATATATATATATATATATATATATATATATATATATAAGGATCGGCCAAATGCACATTCTCACAGAGGTTCTTGCCCTTGATGCTTATACAAGCATCATTCAAACAGTATCAATTTTTCACAATTATTTTTATGAATCTATGTACATGTTGTGTTTTATTTTCTGTATATGTAGATACATACGTAGAATAATTCTCCACCATCTTTTAGACAAATTACTATAACATAATACAATTGCACTTACTTTGCAGTATTACTTTTACATAGTATAAGTTACACTATAGTATAGTATAGTATTAGTATCTATGGAGATTCTCAGTCACCCAAAGGTGCATTTTCAAGAGGCAACATGACTTTCTTGTTTGTTTGTTTTTTGAAGACATTTCACTTCTCATTCAAGAAACTTCTTCAGCTCAGAGCTGAAGAACCTGCTTGGATGAGAAGCGAAACGACTTCAAAGAAAAACAAGAAAGTCCTGTTGCTTCTTGAAAAAGCACTTTGGGATATAGTATTAGTAGTTATAGTGAATTTATAACAGTTATAATGGTTAGGTATTTCTTATAAAAGAAGAAATAAATAACCTGTTTTAGTTTACACACAAATTCAGCTTAAGGCGAGACCTGGAACAGAATTCATTCTTAACTTAGAGACTTGCTATATTTAGAAACAGAAAAAAAATATTAAAATAACCTGTTAATGATTTTAATGTAATCTGAGATAAGATAATGGTGAAGTTGTAGAAGCTTACTTATGCAGATATTTTTTACATTTTCCCAAAAACTAGTCAGAAAAAATGCTTGATTAATATATAATATCCTAATTGCAAATAATATTTAACTACCAACATGATGTTAATCTTTATCCAACCTGAAGTTCATTGTAATAGTACAGATCTATTTTAAACTACTGAATGAAAGTAACAGAATATTGGTAGATGGTAAATACAGCAACTGTATAAAAATAAACGCCTTAAGATGGCAGTATTTTCTATATCTTTTTATAATACTGAAATTACAATGAAATCAACACAATCACTCTTGCCCATATTTATCTATGTTTAAAATTAACTTGACAACCAATTTGGTATAGTGGTTAAAGTACCAGGCTAAAAACTGGGTGAGTTCTCATCCTGCTTAGGCACAAAGACAGCAGGGTAACTTCAGGCCAATCACCCTCTTTCAGCCCTAGGAAAAAGAAAATGGCAAACCACTTCTTAAATCTTGCCAACAAAACTTCAGAGGCTAGTTTAGGCAGTTGCCAGGAGTCAATACTTACTTGAAGACACACACAGAGATACATACACACACACCAAAAAAAAAAAAAAACAATAGATGGGTCAGAGTATATAAACTCAAACATCTATCTGTATTATTATTTACATGAAGTGATTGTCCAAATTCTGTATGCTCTTAAAAGATGTAATTATTGAAGGTAGTCTTCCTAACATAAAAACAGGATTTATGTATATGTATATAATCTCTTATGTAATCTGAATATGTCAGTGATGAATATTTAAATAAATCTTTAAACTTCTTTCACAATAATCACGTGCATTTTGTTATTAGTTTCTCTGATGTAAAATGATAATTTGTAAACTATTTTTTGTATAATCAATATTTACTTATGGAAAAGAGTTAGCAATAGGTTCTGCTGTCAAAAATATAGTAAAGGCTTTTACTGTATATAAACTACATTTCAAATAATAAAATTAAAAATACACTTATACATCATTATACTGAACAGGTGGACTAAATCATAGGCAAGAAATTGTTCATATATCGACAGCAAGCATATCAAACAATAAATAATTTTACTAATGCTAATAGTAACAATACTAGAGAGAGAATGTGTCTCTCTGTGTTTTATGTTCCTGAAACATACAGATCCTAAAAAAAATAAAAGATAGAGTTCTTAATTAACAAGACTAATATTTCAAGAGGCACAGTGAGGCACAATTGTAGAAAGTTGGTGGTTAAATGGAAATGGCAGAAAAATTTACAACCAAGCATGTAGACATGAATAATGGTAGCAATTTGGGTGGTAGACATTTGCGGATATTTAAAAAAAAATTCCTCATTTTTTAACACAGGTAACAGAAAAAAAGCAAGAACTAGAGAAATGTTTGAAATTATCTCGGAAACTCAGAAAGGAAATGAATTCTCTGACAGAATGGCTGGCAATGATAGATTCAGAACTGACAAAGAGATCAGCAGTAGAAGGAGTGCCTATCAATTTAGATGCTGAACTTGCCTGGAGCAAGGTAAACATTTTTGTCTTACTTTTAAACTCACGCATATTTTTTTTCCTGCAGTCCCCACCACTTCTTAAAACATTTTTCCTTCAGCATTGCAAACTGTGTATTATTTGATCCTTAAATAGTTAGGCTTTTGTCTTTTACTATCACAAGACTTTAATGTTTCATGCTGTGTACCAAAGCAGACCAACAAAAAAAGAACACAAAGCTTTAAACTATATATCGTGATAGGTTTCAGGTGTCATATTGTTTAGTGAAATACCGCTCTAGGCAAACAAAGTAATTTCATAGCAAAAATAATTGAGCATACTTTTGAAACTGTTATTCAATTATGACCTTATTTTCATTTTTGTATATTTTAAATTAAGGCTATGATACAATGTTTGGATTTTATTTATTTATTTTAAATTGTAAGTTTTCATCTTTTTAAACTTTTCCTTATAAATACAGTATAGCTGCCATATGCAGTTTTTCCCAGCACAGGTTGTCCTCAGCTTACAATGGCTATTGGGATAGGAACTGCAAATGCAGCGATAAAGTGCAATATCATATGATCACTTAGTAATGGTAACCAGGCCATCCCAGTTATTCTTGTAGCCCCAAGATGGTGTGGGTTGTTAAATGAAAAAAGGCAGAGGTCCAAAAACAAGGAACATAAGTGGGTGTGTGGGTAACATGGAGATGATGCAGATGGGCACTGTAAAATGCATTGGAAATGTGAGGGCTGTGGTCAGACCTGTAGGGGCTGTGGTCAGGTGGGGGTTGCTGCAAAAGGGCACATGCTATGGACTGCAAGCATACAAAGGGTGCTATGGGGCACAAGATCCCTGGAATCTCCTACTCCAGGATAGGTCTCCTTGAGAGGAAAAAAGCAGCAGGAATGTCTTATATGAATTATTTGTGAGATTTTCTGTGGTTTATTAAGTTTATTATCAAATATTTCTTTGCTTTGTTTACTTTTTTATTCGATGACTTATATGAATTCATAATCAGAATTGGATATGCTTCATACATAATTATGTCATTATATCATAAACAAATGATTTGGTGTGGTTTTTAGTTGTACTTATATAAGTTGCATTTCATTACCAAATAGTCATTGTTAAAGAAAAAAAGAGTTTTGGATTCCATATATTTTATAGCAAAACCAGCAGCTTATTGCCAAAGGAGGAAAAAGGCTGTTACTGTAAAGCAGCCATTTTGTAGAGGTGTGATCAATAAAATCTTAACTTATTTATCATTAGCTGCTTGATTAGATGTAGTGCTTTAGGGCACTATGTTTTTATATTCACTATTAATGCAGATTTATTTCTCTTTCAATTTATTTTAATATACAAAGTATCTAGTGGTGGGATTCAAATATGTGAAAAACCGGTTCTCTGTGTAGATGCTACTTCCAGAAGCCCATTCTGGGCCTGGCAACAAAAAATTAACTACTGGTTCTGCCGAACTGGTGTGAACTGGCTGAATCCCACCACTGAAAACATCCTAATATATGAATGGCAATACTGTTATGCATAATGCAAAGTTCAGAGTCATTGTCTTCGCATTTACTATTATTCCATGTATGCTTTCCATAGGGAACACAGCTGGAGACTGAAAAACGACAGCATCAGCTGAAGATTATCACTGACTTGGGAGAGGGACTGAAGATGGTGCTTAAAGGGAAAGAAAGATTGGTGAATGATAAACTCAGCCTTCTCAATAGTAACTGGATTGCAGTAACTTCACGAGCTGAGGAATGGTTTAATTTGCTGCTGGTAAGAGTAACCAATTAGTACTTCCTCTCTACTTTCATGATTACAGAGATGGAACATCACCTTTTTAGTTTTTTAGAGAGAGTTCCCTAGTGATTTAAATTGTGATGTTATTTTATCTAATAAAGACTTGTCTTGAAAATCACAATGATATCAGTTTTATGTTTGTTATTTTTAAAATGAACTATATTTTAAAAATTGTTACACAATTTTTCTGTTTGTTAATTTCAGAAAAAAATAATATTATTAATTATGTAGTAACAGTTCAAGGATTTCTAAATTAATAAGTTATAGCATAGTTTTTAATCTGCTTTCCTTGTGCTGCAGGAATATATATAATATATTTATTATAAAAGTGGCTATTGATTTTTTTTCTCACTTTGGATCCCAGTGTCTACATCACTGCAATAGAAGGAGAACTCTCTTTGCTTCATATCTCCCTTTATATATAACTATGTAAACAATTAGAACTAGGTTTTAAAATTTTTCTGATTTCACCCAGTATTTAGACCTATTTTTTTTTTCAGTTCTAAAGAACTGGTTTTATAGTTTTTGTATTTGGACAACATAATAATACATGTAGTAATGCATTTTTTTCTTTTTCCCCTTTGATCCTAATTGTTTAAGAACATGCTGATTTCTCTTTACTTACTTCTAGGCATATCAGAAACACATGGAAACATTTGATCAAAATGTTGCAAATATCACTACATGGATGTATCGAACAGAAATACTCTTGGATGAATCTGAAACCCAAAGCCCCCAAGAGAGAGACAACATTCTTAAGGTAACAAATGCAAATCTTTGAAAATTATTTTTTAAAAAGTCTAGATGATTCTTTATACATGAACATATTTGTATTACAGATTTGCCCTGCATGTTTTCAAGTAATCTTTTGAAATTAGAGAAAATTATTTTTCTCTTCAAAATAATATTTTATCATAGCTTTTAAAATTCTTAGACAGCAAACACCATTTTAAAACATGAGGTCTTGTGAGAAAAATATTTATTGTCAAGTGATTTCTATATTCCATAATACTGAAGTAGTAATTGCAGCCATGCTATTTCTAATATTGGAGAATTTAAAAAAAATCTTAGCATCGTTGGCACTATAAACAGTGTACATAATCAAATATTCTGCAAATCTCCAACTATCTCAAGAAGTGTAAACTATTATTTTTCCTAAATCCAAAAATATAATACAAATCATTAATAATTTAGCAAATAAATTATCAGTTTATTTGATTTAAACTTATTTCATAGAGCAGAGGTCCCCAATCTTTTTGGCACCAGGGACCAGTTCCGTGGAGAGAGGTTTTTCCACAGACCGGAGGGTGCGTGATTTTGTGTGCCGCGGATAGGGCTTTGCTTGTTTGTGTGGACCGGTTGCTGGCATGCCGTGGCCTGGTACTGGTTCACGGACCGGGGGCTGGGGACCCCTGTCATAGAGAATGGAAATATCCTTAAAATCATCATAATATATTTTTGAAAGTCATCTAAGAAGAGAATATTTAACAGCAGGCAATTTTTGAAATGAAACAGATACAGATATGCAATATAATTATATTTTATATATAATTTAATAAACAGTTAATAACAGTTGTTCATTTTATAGAACTGTACATTAATAGGGTTTATTCAGGCTCAGATTTATATGATTTTACTGTAAGTAGTGCATCTTGGTTCCTTTTATTCATAACTGACCTAGAAGTCTATTCTCCATCCAGCATGTTCAGCATAAATTGGTAACAGATTTTAGCTTAAATCATCGGCTTACTTGGTACAACTTTCTTAGTTGATGCACAAAATAAAACACTCATGACTAGCTAGATCTCCTTTTGTGTCTTTGTAGTGAGAGCTTTGGAAAGCATCTTGCTTCATAGCTACAAATAATTTATTCTCCTGTTTAAATTTTTAAAGGGAAATTCTACATAATGCTTTAATTGGTTCATGCATAAATCTGTTTACAAGAAATATAACACAGTTGTGCATAGCTATTAGGATATTTGGATTTTTTTTCTTTCTTTTTTTCTTTCTTTTTTTCTTTCTTTTTTCCTGTTTTTATGTTTAATGTAAAGCTCTGTGTTTTACGCATGTTTTATAGTGCTTAAAGGCTGAGCTAAATGATATGCATCCAAAGGTGGATTCTATTCGTGACCAGGCAGTTGACTTGATGACAAACCGTGGAGGTCACTGTAGGAAAGTAATAGAACCTAAACTGACAGAGCTCAACCAACGGTTTACAACAATATCAGAAAGAATTAAATGTGAAAAGGTAAGAGAAATAGCCCTGCAAAAATAATTATATTCTTGAAAATGGAACATTTTAAGTTTATAATTCTAGAAGACAATTTTCTAAATAAAAATTAGCAGGAATAAGAATTAGTTGCATCTCTGAGGGTTTTATCTAAATGTGTGTGCTAATATTTATGGTGCTTTTATTCCAGGTATAGTTTACTTCCTCAGTTACATCTTTTGCTATCTATTTAAAAATTAACTTACTAAGAAAAGGCTGTGCATCTTTATCATAAGGGAACATATGTTATCATTCAGAAGGTGTTAATGTATGTGAAAAAGCTTTGTATGGATTTCCTAAACTGCATGCTATTTTAAAGTAAACTTAGACTGATATTTCTATGTGGAAAATTGCTTATTAATTTCTTACTCTTTTGTTTCTGTGATGTGATAAGTGTGTGCATATGAACCAGAAACTGTTATTGTTGTAGGTTTTATTTACACAAGATTGCTAAACCATTCTGAACAAATCCATCCTGTGGTGATCTGGCTTTTTTTTTTTTGTTACTAGATAACTTACATTTCTTCTTTTTATTTGCACTTGATAACCATATCTGCAAAAAACTAACCGGAATAGTATATATAACTCTCTCTCTCTCTGGTTGTGTCTGTGTGTGTGTTCCCTTTGAATCAGAGACTCTTGGATACTTCCTAGAGCTAAGAAAGAGTGACTGACCACTCAGCTAATTTTGTACCTAAAACAGGATTATAGGTCACAGATTTCTGGTTTCTAGACTGGTGCCTTAAAAACTACGCCACACATTCATTCATTCATTCATTCATTCATTCATTCATTCATTCTTGTCAAAAGGTAGTCAACTAAATTGTTGGAGGAATCTTTAGAGCAAGTACCATAGTCCAATTGGCTACTCAAAGAACAACAGGAAGATTGTAATTATTATTGAATCACAGATATTGCTTGGAACTTTTTATTTGCATTAGATCAGTACTGAAACAGTATAAATATGGTGGTTGTATTAAGAAAACGGGGCAGATCCAAAGTAGGCATGAATGTTCTTCACATGGCCTTTGGAATAGATCAATGGGAAAGAAATAGGGAAAGAAAACCTGAGAGGTTAAGGATGGGGAAAAAAGCCTGGAGGACAGCTATTTATTCTGAAAAAGGCAAACGTAATAAAGAGACAGACAATGACAAATAGTGATAAAAGAAAACTACAGGGAACAATAAAAGTCTCATTTCAGGAAAACAGAAAGCCCCAAGGGATGACTTCCTGAAGATAGAGAAATTAAAGAAGCTTTCTATTGAAGGCTCTATACTAGTCAGTACAAAAATCAGGAAGAAAAGGGGCATCATGATAACGAGATTAAAACTGTCTTAGAGAAAAATGCAAAACATTATCTCCAGAGGACCAGAAACCTAACAAGGTATTTCAGAGGAACTTATTACAATATCAATTAGGGAATAAATATGTGTTATTTCATGCTATCCATATGATAAATAAATCTGGACTTATCAAATTTTAATCCAACTCAACATATTCAGACTAGAAATAAATTATTTAGCTTTGGAAAAATTATGGAAAATCCCCTAGTAAGTTAGGAAAAGTAATTGAACTTGTATAATAAATATATATTAGCATATTTCCAGTTAAACCTTGCTCAAATTAGGTTATTTGTGGCATAAGCTATGCCATACTTGAACATACCTCTTTGATGATTAGGGGACTGGAGGCTAAAGCATATAAGGAAAGGCTGCTGGAATTGGGTATGTCTAGTTTAATGAAGAGAAGGACGAGGGGGGACATGATAGCAGTGTTCCAATATCTCAGGGGCTGCCACAAAGAAGAAGGTGTCAAGCTATTTTCCAAGGCGCCTGAAGGCAGGACAAGAAGCAACAGGTGGAAACTAAGCAAGGAGAGAAGCAACCTAGAACTAAGGAGAAACTTCCTGACAGTTAGAACAATTAACCAGTGGAAAACCCTGCCTCCAAGAAGCGGTGAATTACTATTACATTACTTGAAGAACTGTATGTCTAATACTGGAAAGTCTTTGAAGCATCATAATATTAGTTAGTAGAAAAGCGTATCTGTGTTTGTGAATAATGAAAAATATTCCTCATCAAAGAAATCTGTTTAAAGTTTAGAAAAATAACGCATCTTTGCAATAACTGTCCATTAGATTTTGAAAAGCACTTGAGAATTTATTATAAATTATAACTATGCGCCTACATATTAGTTATATGTGTTACTTTCGTGGTGGAAAAGAAGTAGAATCTAGCTGTAGTGCAGGAGACAATGAGTTCAAGTTCTGCCTTAGCCATGAAAGGTGACTTTGGGTCACTCTATCTCAGTCTAACCCACTTCACAGTGTTGTTGTTATGGAGAAAATAGGAGGAGGAAGGTGTGTTGGATACATTTGGCATCTTGAGTTATTTGTAAAATTAATAAGATGGAATATAAATAAATAGATGTATACACTATAATTTGTATAAACCAAGCTTTCTGCCAAAGTTTTTGAATCCTTTCCCCCTTTTCCCCCATTCTTTTTTCTTTGTTGAGGAAGCTGAGTACAAGGTGAACTCAGGTGATTCTTAAAAGTAATACAGTAAAATTCTTTGGATAATTTATCAAATACGTTTCTTGGTATTTTCCTATTTCTAATAAAAACAGTTTAGAATTAAGGATAAATGCATATTTAGTATTTTACAGAAAATTAATTTTGGAATGTGTGTTCTATTTCCATTTTGTCAAATTAGGAGCACAGTGGCTCATATGGTTAGCATGCTGGGTTGGAGGTTAGCAAGCCCACTTTCAGGACCTGAATGCTGCTGTATGGTGGGGTGAGCTCCTGTCATTTGCTCCAGCTCCTTGACAGGGATATGAAAGGAGCCCCCAAGGGTGTCCGTCAGGCAACATTGATGTCACTGGCTAATCCTTTCAACCCAGAAGCACCTTATATGGTGCCTCTAACACAAATGGAACTTCATCAAATTTCATAAAAGTATTAGGGTCTTGATTTTTCCCCCATTCTTATTAAATTAATATACTGTGTAATACTTGGTTTTTTACTCGTTTGTTATCTAACAGAGATCACACACACACACACAAACCTGTCATATTTGCTTTATTGATGTAGATATTGATAAATTATCAAATAAGTTCCCATTTATTAACATGTTGTCCAAAGTTGGCTTTTTATTACTTTAGTGTAGTTAATATTGCATATTGTCTGGCTAATTGCTTAATTGTTTGGATTGGTTTAGTTTGGTTTGGTAACATAAAATAAGTGAGATTTATAAGTACAAGCTGATCAAGTGAGATTCTATTGGTATTACTACATATATAGTAGTTGGTAAAATAAATGTATAGACAATTAATTTAGCAGTTGGAGCAATGGATATATGCTTATGATATATATCAGTAAAATGTGTGAAGAAAAACTAATAAATGTCCATTCCTCTTCTCCTTTCCCATTTTCCAACCTTTAAGCCCTTCGTTTCTTTAAAGGAATTGGAGCAGTTTAACTTTGACATACAAAAATTGCTTGAACCACTGGAGGCTGAAATTCAGGAAGGAATGAATCTGAAAGAAGACGACTTCAATAAAGATAGGGTAAATTGGTTGTGATAGAAGTATGAATGAACTGGGAATGGAAAAGGAAAAAATATTGGAGCAGAAATTAGGAACTTCTGCATTTAACACTGGACAGTTCACAAACCTCAGCATTCTTAAATGTTATAAAACTGTATATGACATTTATAGATGGGCACAATTATGCTTTAGCAATAATGTTAATCTTACAATAAAAAGAATATATGGTTGTTCTTTATAATTATCAGGAAAGAGGTTTGGATTAGTGAAATACCCTATGAAATTTCAGACAACACACCCACACATACACATAGACATGCATATACATCTCTCAAACCCCTACAATGTTGTCCATGTAATAGTAATTCAGGATTGCTTGCTGTTAGTAAAAATGTTCCAAGGAGTCCATAATAAGGCAGACTAGTGTGCATCTCAACCATTCAAATATAGATATACATATAGGTATACATATAGACTTTATTTTCTTACATGTTATACACACAGTTTGCTCCACCAATCTCTGCTTGCAGGATGCGTACAAGTATAAAATACCCTTTCATGATAATTTCTCTGTTACTGTTTTTAATTTGATCTAGTAAAAGTGCCAGTCAGGTGAAGAGTGTGAATATTACTTGGCTGAGGAGAAAAAAATATTTCATTTATCCATGTTATGAACTCTTTTTCCTGGCAGACTATATTCTATTTTATTTTGTGCAGCATAAGTTGTTATTTATAGCTTTATCGTGCAGGTATTATCAAACTGTCTATTTGTAGTATTCTTCAATTTAAACAACAGTATCCTGAAAGCCAAGCTCAGCCTACCAGCATACCTTTTCCAGAGCTATCTTTCCAATGTAACAACTTCTAATAGTTTGCATGAGGGGCAAAATGGATGCCTAATTTTTTTTAATACAATTATGGAACATTTTATAATTCTCCATGTCTCTTGCAATAGCACTGGAATTTGTATTATGAATGTTAAAAGCCCTGGAGATGTGCACATTATGAAAATTTATACAGTAAGTCCTAAGCTATAGTTTGTTTATAGTATGTTGATAATATTAAGTAATTTTTTAAAATTATTATTACGGTATGTCATTATACTATTACTTTCACGATCCAGAAACAGTCTGAGATTGACCAACCCTCAATTACATAAATGTCATTACCATTTTTGTCTGGCTGTCTCTATCTCTGTCATCTCTATTTCTAACATCTCTATCTTTCTATCTGTAGAGTGAAAATCATGAGGGCACTATAAAAGAATTGCTTCAACGTGGAGATATGCTTCACCAAACAATCAAGGATGAACAAAAAAAAGAAGAAATAAAAAAGAAACAGCATTTGTTGCAAAACAGACATAATGCTCTCAAGGTATATTTTACAACCTTTACAGCTCTGGATGAAGTTCTAAATGTTGCATATGTAATAAGTTAGAAGTTATGAAGACCCTGAACTTTTATAATTAATTATGTTACCTTAACGGGCACATAAGACCATAAGCAGGACAGCAAATTATTGTTTTCCTTTTATTTCTGCCTTTCATTTTTATTTTCATGTCTTCAAATATATTTCTTAGCAAACTTTTAGATAAAAATCAATAGTATATAACATATGTGCTGCATAATATACTTGGAGTTATCGCAAATTTAATTTATATGTTGGATAATCTTTAATTAATTACTGATATTATTATGATTTGCTAAGTCGTTTTAGGTTATACTTTATTAATTTTTATCAGTGACAAGGGGAAATGGAAGGGAAGGGAAGAGTGGAAGAGGCCAAAAAGAAATAAATCAAATTAAAGCAAAGTAAATTGCAAATTTTAAATATGGAATTTTAGGAAATATTTTACTATTTATCAAAGGCAATAAAATAAATATGTTAATTGTATGAATATGTATGAAACAAATTATTAGCATGCATATAATATAATCTGAAATAGCAAACAGAAGTAGCCATAGTCAATAATTAAACTTGTAATTAGGAAATAAATTGTTTGGCTTGGAAATGAATTTCAAATAAATAAATAAAATTTCAGGGTATTTCATAAGTCATTCAAAACCCAGAGTAGCATTTAAATGAGGACAAGCAAAGTACATCTTGCCTCACATAAATTTTCTTTTCTTTCTCTTTAGTAAACTTTGGAATGTCTAAAATTAAAAATTTTGAGGGCAATACCTGCACATTAAAGTATACTTTGGATTTCCATCTATTAGCAGGCTACAATTTAAAATAAATTATATTTTGCAGTTAAATTATATAAGTATCTTTTGCATAAAATGCTAGCATTTGGAAAATTCATTGTTGTATCAGTCTGCTAATATTTCTGTTTCAAAATTTAGGCTGCTAATCTTAGCTTTTTAAATGTGTGTATGTTCCATAATACACTTCTCTGTACATTATAAGTATAGAGAAGTAAAAAATATTTTGGTTTACTCAAAAATATAAAATTGTATTCATAATTATAATTCATATTTTTTTAAAAATAACTTATTCACAATTTTACTCCATTCCATAGTGCATACAGTATTTACTTATAAACCATTTAAATATTACTTTTTATAACAAACATATGTACTGCAAACAGGATATGAGATCGCAAAGAAGGAAAAAAGCTTTGGAGATTTCACATCAGTGGTATCAATATAAGAAGCAGGCAGATGATTTAATGAAGTTTTTGGATGACATAGAAAAAAAATTGTCAATTCTGTCAGATCCCATAGATGAACATAAACTAAAGGTAACATTATTTCTACATAGTTTTGCATTTTGTTTCTGGAAACAAAATATGTCTCTCTGTTACCTAGCTACAGTAATTAATATAAATAATAGTAACTCATCACTTAATGTTATTTAAGTAACTGACATGATGTTTGTTAAAACCTTTTGTATCTAGATGAATATATATGTAGAATGTGCCATCTTCAAATACTTTCTAAGAAAAAAATAATTGACTGTTTTATCTTTATTCCAGATGAACAAATGACTTTATCGATACACGGCTGAACTCTTTTTCATATTAGCAGCACATTCATTTTCATCAGAACATATTCATAAATCATGGTCAAAATTCTAAAGATTTGCTTATATGTTGTCAAAAACTGTCTTGTTTATTTTTCATTGTCTTTTTTTGCTTTATTCTTTGTTATGTTCTCTCCAATAGCAATTAAAAATAAGCTCTAGCCATCTAATTGACAATCACTATGGATATTTAGTATGTGGCTCCAACATTATGGTCATCTTTCCAGTTAGTTATCACACAGGGCTAGGGAAAATTAGACAGTTAATACTTTGGCCTATAGTGTCACCTTTCCAGTATATAGTCACTCAAATATCAATGAGCTATATAATTCAGAGCTCTTTTGTATTTCTTTTGTATACATGTTAACTCAGCTTTTAAAACAATATTCTTTCTTTTTCTTCTTTTTTAACAATATCTCTGCAAAAGTATTTTGCTAACTCTTAGGAACTGATGATCTAGTTAGCTAATTGTCCTGGGCCCTGTATTGGTTTTGCTCAATAGGAAATTGATCGAGAACTGGAGAAGAAGAAGGAAGAGCTGAATGTGGTACAGAGGCAGGCTGATCGCTTGTCTAAGGATGGGGCTGCAAAAGCAGTGGAACCAACCCAGATACAGCTCAGCAAGCGCTGGCAAGATATTGAGAGCAAATTTGCTCAATTTCGAAGACTCAACTATGCACAAATTGTGAGTTGTTCCTGGCAAACATTTATGTTTGCAAATACTACTACTAACAAAACTCTACTAATATTGAGAATTCCCAGTGATGTGTCTGAAACAGAATCTGGCCAGCAGTTCAGGTCCCTTTTATTTACAGTTTAATATAGTTTTCATCTTATATGATTTTCTCTAGTAAATGCCCTTAAAATAAAACAGGAAGTGGTTCAACCAAAAATATATTAGCATTAAAGGAAAAAGAATTTTGGTTTTTTTGCCTCATTTTATTCATAACATTACCAGTTTAAAGCTATCAGTTTGCCATATATTTATTTCATTCAATTAACATGTACAATCGAGAAATATTTATTTTTCAATCTACCATCCCATGCACAATCTAATTAGCCTTTATTTATTCTTGATGTTCAGATGTATTCAGAAAAAAATGAGGTTTTTATTGTATTATTTATATAACATAGGTTCTGTTCAACTTACTAGGAAGGAAACATAGATATTATCTGCTTTTTACAACAACCCATGCACTTCAAATATTATATTTAACAACAAATGAGTAAAGAAAGGTTTTCTTACTACAAAGAGTTGCTTAATCTGTATCTATACGTTTTTAATTTGTACCACTAATAAATACAAATCCCCCACCTCACAGGGATGTTGTGAGGAATTATTAATTATATATGGTTTTATGAAATTACATTGTGCTCATTTTAAGGTGAATTTTATTTGGAACAGCTTTAGAAAATATGTCTACGGAATTTATGTAAGAGTCTTTGTGCTAGTCGATAATTAGGATGTATAAAATGTATAAAATACCAGTAATAAACAATAAAAATATAAAATATGTTTAAGGTTAATAAACTGATAAAATTCCTTTTCATTATTTTGAAAATAAACCAGAGACAGGTGCTACTTTGTTTAACAAATTGGAGCATAGAGAAAGGGAAAGGGAAAGGGAAAGGAAAGGATTTGGTTCATGTATTTTTTTCAAGTTTTTTTTAAATTCATTAAAGGGTCACTGTTTCAGTCATTGTTATTTGGTAATATTCTTTCAAAAGTGGCCCGTGTTGATATCTTGGGTAGTTGCAAGGAGACCCTGGAAGGTAAAAGAGGAGTAGGAAGTATTTCTTCCAATACCAATAGATCTTTAAAATGGCAAACAGTTTAGGAAATTAATGTGAAAGAGAATTTCTATGGCTTTATTTATAACCCAGGAGAAGCTGTGTCCATTAAACCTCTGGTAACCTAATAACAATAGTAAATCTATGGTAATTTGCTTGATTAACTAAAGTATATTAATATTTACTATGTAAGTTTTTAGAAGTGGCCTGCATTCTTTTTCCCATCCAAGTTCTTTGTGACTCTTCTTATTCAGTTTCATGTTATTAATCGCTATATCTAAAAAAATGCAGAAACTTTTATTTTTACTGCAGATAAAATACATATGTGAAATCCCATAGTTTGGAATTACTTAAAGAATTGTTTTTATTATATAATCAAAATACGTATACTGTAGCAATAATAATATAGCGTAGATAGCTCAAATGAGAATTTAGATTTCAGCAGTCCTTCCTTTAAAATAAAACTTTTTGTAACACAAATCTTTTCTGGATCCAATGTTTCTCTGCAGAAATTGTGCAAAATACTCTACCCATCATATTTGCTAGTTTTTTAAAAGAAGAAATGAAAATAAAAAAATTTTTTTCTTTGGCCTATGGCATTCAGAAATATATTATCTGATTTAGTGGCATAATTAACATATGATTTTATACATGTTTGGATGGGATGGCAGAGCCTCCAGCTCTTCAAGGAAGGGTCTTTGAAAGGGGGTACAGATCACCATGGGGACCATGAGGGAGGTAAGGCATCCAAGTAATGATGGGCATGGGACCTATAGAGTCAGAGGGTACGCCATAGCCTCTAAGATTTAGTATCGGCGGTGTGTTCCTGCCCCCCCCAAGCACATTCTCAGTTCCTGGGCAGCATTCCTTTGGGGGGGGGTCAAAGCTTCAGCTGCTGCTGCTGCTGCTGAATGCCAGTTCAGTCAATAATAAGGTTTCCTTCATTCAAGCTCTTATTATGGAAAAGCAAGTGAGACCTAGCTGACACCAGGAATGGGGGTTTCCCCTATTAGAAATATGCCCAACTGGGTTGAGGGTTTGGCACCAGCCAAGAGAGGGGAGGTGGGTGGCAGTGGATGTGGGTAGCAGTGATAATCAGAGAGTCTCTTGTCACCTTCAGGGGCCTTGCTCTCCAGATCTCTGGATGTGAGTCTCTGTTCCTGAAGCTGAGTTCACAGGATCAGTTGGCATTGTTGCTAGTATACCAACCTCCCTGCTGCAAGCAAACTCCCTGTATGAGGAGTTCCCTGCTGTCAGTGGAGTTCCCTAGACTTATGGTCCTGGGTGACTTCAATCTGTCTTCCTTGGGTTTGTCCTCAGAAGTGGCTCAAGAGTTCATGGCCACCATGATGGCCATGGGCCTATCCCAGATCATCATGGGTCTGACTCTGGACAGTAGTCACATGCCAGATATGATATTCAGAGAAATGTCAGTGTGATCAGATGGGGAATCTAACATTATACCCCCTGTCATGGTTAGATCACACCCTGGTGGCCCTGAGACTCTCTTATGTGGCCCTCTTCTGCAAGGAGGATGGATCCATTCGAATGGTCTGCCCCTGGAGACTGATGGAATGGGTTCCAAACAGAACTGGGGAATATATTGGAGGATTTACTGTATGGTTCTACCAAAGCCTTCGTAATGCACTGAAATCACGAGGCGGACAAGGCTCTGGACAGAATTGCACCTATGACTTTGACCGGACACAACATACAGCCATTATCAAGGCCTATCTTGTGGTGATAAGAGTGGCAAAACAATTATTTCTCTGCTGTTATTGCATCTGCAGAGTGTTGCACATCAGTCCTCTTCTGAATTACCCAGTCCCTCTTAGGCCTGGAGGGCTGTGCAGAAGAATTAATTGAACACTTGTTAGATAAAATCACTTGGATTCATTCCCAGTTGGAATCCAAGCATGGTGCAGGTCCTTGTGAGATCCATGAGGAAAGTTCTTGCTCGGTGATTTGAGAACAGTTTGATCCTGTTGGTCCTAAGGAAGTGTCCTTAATGGTCACTTAACATGGTCCTTAATGCTGTCAATACAGCCACCTGTCAATTAGATCCTTATTCCTCCTGGTTGGTAAAAGCCTCCAGGACAGTGACCATCAGGTGGGTACATGCAATGATAAATTCCTCACTGCAAGATGGGACATTCCTGGACCCTTTAAAGGAGTTCATCCTCTTCTAAAAAAAAGAAACCTTCACTTGATTCCACCAGCCTGAAGAATTTCCGTTCAATTTCTCATCTCCCCTTTAAGGGAAGGTGACAGAAAAGATGGTTGCTTGGCAGCTTCAGAGGATCCTGGATATAACAGATTCCCTAGAACCCTTGTAATTAGGTTTCAGGCCTGGCTGTGAGACAGAGACCACATTGGTTACACTTATGGATGAGGGCAGGATGGTGGTAGTGCAACTGTCCTGGCTCTCCTTGACCTCTTAGCAATCTTCAATGTCACCAACCATGGTATGTTTTTGGGTTGGCTACAGAGCTTAGGACTGGGCAGCACAGTTCTACAAAGTTTATCTCCCTTTTCCAAGGCTGCTTCCAATTGATATGGAGTGAGAGATCCAGCCCCGGCTGCTTTCTTACATGTACCACAGGGCATAGTACTCTCACCATTTCTATTTAAAATCTACATGAAGCTGCTGGGTAAGATCATCCATCAATATGCTGATATTATTCAATGTTGCATCTTCACATCTGGTGACCTGAGGATGCTGTTGCTACCTTCTGATGGTGCCTGGAGGCTGCAGGAGCCTGGATGAGGGATAACAGGCTACAACTGAACCCTGGCAAAACTGAATGACTTTGGGTGCATGAAGTTTCAAGATCCAGGTCTTTGACATCCTTAGTTCTAGATGGGGTTATACTATCCCTTTCAGTTCCAGTTTGCAACTTGGGAGTTCTCCTGCACTCATGATTCCTGCTCGAACATCCAGGTGGCAATTGTGATAAGGAGAGTCTTTGCACAGCTTCAGTTTGGCCTTTTCTGGATCAGGAGTTCTTGTGCTCAGTCACTCAAGTCGTAGTTGTTAAGTCCGGAAAATAATGGCGCTTGAGACGAAGCATTTCTAACAAGTCTTTATTCTCTGCTTCCAATCTACGAACAACCCGAGCAGAGGCATGCAGGCCTCTATTTATACCTTCTGATCCCCGGGCAAATCCAACCAATCACAAGGCGGTCTTTTCCCGCCTTGCGCATTCGCGCAAGGCCGGCACCACTCAGTCTGGTCCCGGGCAGCTTTTGCAAATGCCCGGGACTCTTGCAACGTCCCGAGCCTGCTTTTGCAGGCTCAGGACACAACACCCCTCCCCCCTAGATGAAATAATACTGCGCCCACATGGACGCCATCATAGTGATGGTTATATAATTAACTGTTGAGTTAAAGTCACACAGTGTGT